TTAAATTTCACCAGTTATGTAACAAAGCTGCTCAGACAAAAATAAATTTAGTATTGCCAACCCCAAAATAATCTATTATTTTGGGCCATTCTTCCTTATTTGACCAGGTACAAAGATTTTTTTTCCCCCATAACTGTGGTCAGGCTTGGTATCATTCAGATGAACATTTAGACCAGGAAAGAAAATTGCCTTGTCCTGCAGGCAGCCTTCTGAGCAATACAGATTCTTCCTCTGCTATCGCCCCTGATCATCCACTTAAGACAGCCCCAGCCCCTGGTTGGTTGGACCTGGACTCTTCGTCATTTGAGAGGGGGGTAAAACTTGCTCTGCAATTCACTGTCCCTTTAAAGTGGGCTCCATGGAATGACCTCAGTATTCTTATGAAGAAGAGGGCCAGGTGCTGCTGCCCGATGATCACCAGCTTCGTCTGGTCATCTACTTTAGGAGACAGCAGAAGCACATGACGCCCCGTGCAGACAGATCGACGGCTGGGACGCCCAGCATCTCGGCCACCCTCAGTGGCTGGTCAGTCACAAACAACAAGAAAATCCACACCCAGCACCACTGGTAAACTTGCCAGAATCAAAAGTCTGAGTTCCCATGCAGTATGTTTCCCTGCTGGCACGCACACCAGTTTATCCATCTTCCTAGAACACTTGGAATTTAGGGGAAAGTGTGAAGAAGAAAAAAAAAGTGACTGAATTTTATTCAAAGCCGTATCAGTTTGGCGTGCCGTTTTTCTTCATCCATTACTAGATTTAGACTGAGATCCCTGTAAAAGAAGACAGATTAATAAGAGAAATGCATGCAGCTTTACCAAATACACATTCTGTATGACGTGGAGCCATTGGAAAGAAAGACCCAAAGGCACAGGTGCAATTGTGCATTTAGTGGAAAGCAATGCAGAATTATGACCGGACAGAGTGGGGTGCACCAAGCCCTGATTGCTCAGAATCTCCCCTGTGAGCGGTTTACTTTCCTCTGACAATAGGAAGGACTCTAGGACCCCTCCAGAATGAGAGCTTTTATTACCTGCTTCACAGAGGTCAGCTTCATTTTACTCTCCCTGCTTGGGGGAGGAGAGCCACGTAAGCCGAGGTCACTTCTGGCTTCAACCTGTCCTGCAGCCGTGCCATACTTGGGGTAGCGCGCCCCACAACTTCAGGAGCTTTGGGATGTGTGCTTGCTCGGGGACCTTCTCCATCCACCATCCCTGTGAGTTGCTAGAAGTCCAGAAAACTGATTCAGCTAAGTGACTTGTCCCAACACACAGAAAACAGTGCAGACTCCAGAGCGGACTTTTTGGTTTAGAGAAAACAACTACTTCCAGTCCTTTGAAGTAGAGTACATTTTGTTTTTCTTGTGTAAGAAAATATGGATTTTTGTGTTGGATCCACTTGAAGTAGGATGTGCTTCCGAAGTGCACGCCTCTTATTTTTTACTTGCTAATTGAATGGAAGGCAATGACTAAATTTAAAGAGTTCAGCTTCCAATCCCTGGGGCTTGCTGTGATGGCAATTGAGACTAGGCGTGGTGGCATGCTCCTGTAATCCCAGCTCTTGGGAGGTTGTAAACAGGAGAATCACTATGAGTCCGATCTAGGTAGTGAGACCCTGAACACCCTGTAGACCCTTCCCTAAGATAC